CCATGTGATAAATTCCCCAATCCCAACCATTCATCAGATATGTAATCTACTGTATCATTTCGTACTATTATAAATAAAGTCTGGCAAACAGCCAGTACGACATAGGAATAGGAAATTCCTGTAATAAGGAAAGGCCCTACTCACGTTTGCTAAGCCTTATCCTGAATTTGACGTAACGTTAACCCCAAAAATAACCTTAACCCATACTCTAATCTTAGCTTGTTTTAAAGAGGGTTCCACTTCCTACTAAGATAGAGATTTAAGCAGTCTTATTGTTGAGTCAACTTATTGCTGAAAGGGGCTACCTGACAGTGTGTCTTAATCTACTAAATGCAGAAACCCGACAAAGCTGCAGTATCACATTTTCAACCATGAAAGGATTGGACAAAGCTGTTGGAATGACTTTGAGCGTTGGACACTTTTATTCCATGCTAAAAGTAACCTTTCGAGAAGATAACTTGGCGATGGAACCATAGTTCTCCCGGAGAGATATTTTGCTAATTTCGTCTATCCAATGTCGGTTGGACCTATTGAGCATAAGTTTTGTAAATACGTTCATTACAGTTTGCAAACTGCAAGAACAGCGGCAACTAACTCAACTTTTGTCATGCAAAACGTCAGAACGCCTTCTCTGTCTCCAAAGAACATTTTTGAGAAAATATCCGCATCTTTTGTTAGCTTAACCTATATAACGATCAGAAGCTCATCGATAGTCACTTGAATATCAATGCTCATAAACCTACTTAGTAAAACCAAAAGGTAAAAGTCCCTGTGATGGCGAGAGAGCCGAGATATGTCCTACAAACTTTTGGACTAACCGTTCAGAAAGGATGGACAAAAAGCACATTAAAAAGTCACATAGTCACCTCCTACTGTCTACTGTGTCGAAATAATAAGTCAGGGGAATTTAAGGTAGAATCTTTAACAGCGATTAGAGATAAGATCCTGCTCAGAAGATGGTAGGTAAGGACTCCTGCTATACATTCATGATGGTGATAAGAATGTTATAGGTGGGGTCAACGAAACTAACACACTGTTTCCGGAAAGCAAAAATAAAAAATGCTCTCGAATCACTAGCTTGTTAAAATACACAAATAAAGCCTAAAAGCACAAGAGCGAAATTGCAGATACTGGAAATTAGGAGCTCTACATGAGCGGGAAGGCGAAAACCGGGGGGTATTAGTTGGATGTTCCAAGCGAACTGATCCTAACCCGCGAGATCCAATCAGGTTGTCGGTAAAAGGAAAAAGAATATATCGTTAAATCTGACTCACATGGTGGGCACGAGTAAAGATATAACTTCAGTTGACAACATTTATAGCTTCATCCCTTATCCTGAACCTATGTCTATGCCGATCTCTAAATCTAACCCTAACTCTAGTCCTTAACTATAGCCTAACCCTAAGATCTAAGTTAAGACCTGACGGTTAACTCCAACTCCACCTGAAATCCCAACTCTACCTTCTAACTCTGACCCCTAAGCGTAAGTCAAATGGCAACCATAGTCGTAAGACTTAAGGGTTACTAGCGGAAGGGAAGGAGTGGTCAAAGTAAGCCAACATATACGGCTTAAATATATATTTTTTAGGAGTAAAGACTATATGGAATCACATATTCGATCGTTGCCGATTTTTTA